AACACATATATATATATATATATATATATATATATATATTTTACACTACTGAGAAAAATAAACAACTCTTACACAATGTTATCGGTTTGTTTTTCAGTGTCACCATGAGGCGGTCTATTATCAAGGTGGAAAGCGTACTACTGCTGTGTGTGGGTTTTGTTTGTCTCTTATTTATTATGCAAGAAAGTAAAGATGAAAAAGAAGAAATTGAAAATCGGCCTGTCCTTGCTTCTCCTGTTACCTATGGAGCTGCTGAACTAAAAAAAATAGAGTGGGTCTCCGGCTGTCAAGAAAACTCCACAGTTGAACTTGTTGCTGGATTTTCCAAGCTGCCTGCACACATTAAAGACTTCTTGAAATATAGACACTGCAGAAACTTTCCACAGATCCTTAACGCACCACAGAAATGTGGTGGAAGAGCTGCATCTAAAGGGGTATTTTTGCTTCTTGCCATAAAGTCTTCCCCTGGGAATTATGAAAGGAGAGCTATCATTCGCCAGACATGGGGGGAGGAAAACAGTTATAATGGTGCCCATGTTAAAAGGATTTTTCTCTCTGGAACCTCTAACAATGAGAGGGAGGGCAAACATTTGAGGCAGCTTCTAAAAATTGAAAGTGAAACCTACGGTGATATTTTACAGTGGGACTTCCACGACAGTTTTTTTAACCTGACATTAAAACAGTTGCTCTTCCACCAGTGGCTAGATGATCAATGCCCAGGAGCTAACTTTATTTTCAATGGAGATGATGATGTATTTGTTAACACCTTCAATGTTGTCATCTATCTACGTGGACTGGAGGCCGATAATCACCTCTTTGTTGGACAGCTGATAGCCAATGTAGGACCTATTCGTGAATCTGGTAGCAAATATTATGTGCCCATACAGGTAACCAGCTCCAATTCCTACCCAATGTATTGTGGAGGTGGAGGAATTCTCCTATCCAAATACACTGCTCATGCCATTTACAATAAATCCTTGGAAATTCCTCTTTTTCCTATTGATGATGTTTATCTAGGCATGTGCCTGGAAAAGGCTGGCTTAGTCCCAGCCTCTCACATGGGAATGAGGACAGTAGGAGTGCGTGTGCCATCTGTCAAATTAGACTCTTTTAACCCATGCTATTATAGAGAACTTCTAATGGTACACCGTTTTGTGCCATACCAGATGCTGGTCATGTGGAAAGCTGTACAAGATCCTCATCTTGACTGTGGACAGAAACTTTCTATATATGTAGACCAGTAACGGGGACAGACATGTGAAGATTCCCAAGCCATATACCATTTGCCAGTCCTTACAAATAGTGAGCCTCATCTATACGACCTGGAGAAGAAAATGTCTATGCTACTCATGTAACCTAGATCCCAGAGTAGACATTGGAATCGTAATTCTTTACGTTTCATTCTCTCCTTTTTTACACCTAAAAAATGAGAACCACGACAACACTCACCTTTCCTCCAGTTTTTATAAGTTACTGTGTTGAATACTTGGCTAAGGAACTGTCTTCAGTTATTTATGCATATCTTTATTTATTCTCAATTTTGTATTAAATGAATTTAACTTGAGCAATATTTTTGTACATACCATTCACCATATTGTTAGCTTGTGTTATTGAAAAGAATTGTAAGGTATGCTTTTGGCACGGGAACAACATGCTATCAGCACAGAGGATCACTAGGTAGGACAAGCTAATTATGCAGCAGAATTGGGGTTGAATAGTATTAATTATTTTTAGGAATTAGGTTCGGTTAGAGTCTGTGCTAGGCTTGGGGATTTAGTGTTTTAGGTTAAGTGTTAAGGGCTTACTTTAGGGAAACATGAGTGTTAAGGGGAAGATTTAGGGGAAGTTAAAGGAGAAATAATTGGAGAGTAAAATTTACTATTCCCAATACTTTGAGCTGGTGTGTGAAACTGCAGCTGTCACGTGCCGGTTCTATAAATCGAGAACCTGCAGGGATTCCACCCTTTCCTCTCTGTTCTTCCAGTACTCACTGGAAGGACAGATAGGGGAGGGGGCAGGCACCTCTGTTTCTAGAGAGGCCGAGCCAGTTGTCAACCAGGCAGCTTGGTGAATCCCGACAATATTGTCATGATCCTTTACCGGCTGCAGTGCGGCTCTGTGCTGTCAGCTAATAGCGTGCAGTAGCCTGTTATAGGCTGAGTTTGGGTCACAATAGGACATTAGAGAATATACTCCTGTGACCCAACAAAAAACTATAGTCAAAAAAAGGTCTGGCTTTAGTTCTCTTTTTAAGGGCGCACATTTAGGGGTTAGGTGTTGGGGGAAGGATTAAAAGCTTACCTTAACAGTAAACTTTTGGGTAGGGAAGAGGTTAGTGGATCAGGTTTCTTTTTTTAGGGGTGTGTATTCAGACAGAAAGGTTAAGCTGTGCACAGGGAAAATAACTAGTTATCAGTATTGCCTGTGGTGTCCCTACAGCTGATCTTTTCCCCATCAAGTATCTTGGTGAAGGCAGGGTTTTGCTAGACTTGCAGTCAGGGGCAGCAGTGTCTTAGATCTCACTCAGCTATGAGGCTGTGCCTAGGCACGCTCGCCTACCAGGAAGTGCGTTGCTGTTTTAGAGAAGTAAACCCAGACTAAAGGAATTTTTTCAGGGTACTGCTAAGGCACAATTAACATTTTGAAGTGTTCCCTATAATATAGGACATCCTTCATTCTGTTGATTTCAGGTCCACTTTAAGGGTCTGATTTTTATAAATCTTCCACCCTAAATTATTGTTAGGACAGCTGCATATTTTACATTTCAGTGTTTAGAGAGCCTTGTGATGAAAACTACTAGCACCAGAGTCCCAGTACCAAGAACAAATGTGTGCAGCCAGGCATTTATAATTTGGGGCTGTTGGAGCTGTTGATGGGAGAGGATTATTTTTTCTTCTTTTCTTTTTTCTCCTTTTTTTTTTTTTTTCTAAGGCAACACATAGCTTAGTTCAAAATAACCTTTGCTGTATTTTCAGTGAATTTTATTAGCTAAATGCAGGTTTTGGCCTAGAGCCATTTTGGTACTTGTATACACATGCACGAACATAGGAGTGCATTCATTTTGATTTTATTGTGATCTGCATCGAGAAAAGAGCCCTATTGAAGGAGAACTCCAAGCAAGTAAAAAAAAAAAGTCTACTATTGTTAAGTATTCTAGTCCTCATTGTAGTTAATTGTGCTTACAAAGACTGTTTACATCCCACCAAATCCGCCTGTGCACTCTCAAAGTCCTGTCTAACAGCCTGGTCTATGTGAAGCTGCACACACAGGCCTTTTGTAGTGTTAATTGACCAGGGAGTGTAAAAGGTAAAAGTAAACCAATACTGCAATAATTAAAGCTGAAATCTCAAGGTGTTTGGCATTTCTTCCTAGTTGTCACCAAGGAGACCTGACACACTGACGCAGATCAGAGGTGGAAAGCACGGGTTAAACACAGGTTAAGAAGTATCTTTAATTTAGAAATGCATGTTATTTTTTTTAATGAATGCACAACACTTTTAAAAACTTTAATTTGGTGATGCACATTGGATACTTTAGCATAATTATACAACATTTTATAGGAATCACAGGTTCTATGAAATTGTTTAAAGCTGAACTCCAGTCAGAGATAAGTCACACATTAATGCAGCTCTGCATTCATTATGACTATATGTATTTTTTTTTTTTTTTAATGCAAGCAGTGTAGGTATAGTGTACCTAAATTTGACTTGGTATCCGCCTCTTGCAATCCCCTGTACAGCAGAGTTTAGATGGGTAGAAGAAGCAAAAAGGAGCCAATCAGTTGTGCTGGAGTGCGCATGTGCTAGCAAAGTACCTGCTGTTAGGAGGAAAGAGCAGAGGGACAGAGTGATGATCTCCTCAATCTGCTAATTTTCATTTCACTGCCCAGTCACAGGCTGTGAGGGGGACAATACTGTAAGTTAGTTGACTACAACAGAGAAAATCCCCTACCGGAAAGGACTAAGCTGCTTAGTAGTGCTGTGTAAATCTCAGAACTGGATGGACAGAAATACAAATACTTTGGCAGGCAAAAAAGAACCAATAAATGCATTTCTTCTGTGTATTTAACTGTTTTGGTGTTTAGCTTAAATGTTGGCCATACACATAACGATATGCTCATTCCATACAATTATTTTGATAAAATGATCTAATCTTTCAGAAATCAACAGAACTAAAGTGGTTGTTCAATTGAAAAACAATAATTTTCACTGAAGAGAAATCGATCAGCGCTGGCTAAATATCTAAACTGATATTTAAACTAATTTTTTTTTTTTTTCTGCTCGCACGCAAGCAGAATCCCGCAGTAAATGTCAACAGGCGGTACCGGCTGTTCCATACTAGCGTTCAGGTGGCTCTACAGCTGTCTGATTGATTTTTTTTATTGACAGTTTGTAAGGCAAATCCCAAAGGGGGTATGTAGAATAGTACAAAGCGAGTAATAGGGAACAAAAACATTACTCAGCCTGTTTTTAAATAAAGTGCAACCTCAATGTTAAAGCGAAAGGCATGAAGCCTAGATTTCGGTGTAATGCAGCTGACCTTTGCTCAAGGTAGAGCAGGAAACAAGTTAAAAGAATAGGAAAGGGAAGTAGAAAGGCAAAGATAAGAGTAGAGGCTCAAATGGCCAAGGGGTCTTACAGTCCCACATTTTTATGAAAGGAATCCTCACTGATTAAAGTTCCAGTAATGTTGTTATCTGCCTTTTTTTTTAAAACATTTGGGGTTTTTTTTTAATTTCTTTATGCTGCAGACCATAAATGTGCTGCCGTCAGTAGATACACAAGGCCCACACTGCAGAGCTCTTTTATTTGCTGCCTATTCAAGTGCTTGTGTACTGTGCTGATGCTGGCTAATGTATCCCAAACAAATAACTGAAGTCTGTCCTTTTGAATATTTTAAGGAATAACTGGAGATATGTAGATGGGAGGGGGTGCATGAAATGTGGGACTGTGTTTTTGTACACTCTGCATGGTTTTAAAAGTTAAAAAAAAATATCACAGAGTGGTACTTCAAAAAAAAAATCTCACACGCAATATCTAATATTGTTTTGTCACTGGACAATTTGTAGAAAATTAAGGGTTTCAGCTTTATTTATTTTTTGATATGTTATAGCTTCTACTTGCACCATGTAAATTAGGCCTATTACCCAGGCCGATTCGCTCATCCCTAAGCATCTTGGATCAACCTAATGGTTAGGACAAAATAATAAATCCGGGGAAACTAGAAGACAATGATTTTGAGCAAGTGGGGAGTGGAGTCAGTGAAAGAAGAACTTTAAAAAATGCAGCAGCAATGAGACGGGGTGGAAAGGGCATATGTATGCATTTCAGGGGGTTAAAGATGGCAAATCTATGACACGGTAAGTGCTATGGCATGAGAATAGTTGACCCAAACCCCCCCTATTCAAATTTCAGATTGCGCAACGCAGCGCTGCAACCGAAGTTATATACAAAGTTGGCAGCCAGATTTTGGTTATGGCATTAGAAATTAAATAGTGGATGAAGGTTGGTTGTTGAAAGCAGATGCAGGACTCTATATTTAAATAGAAATGGGAGTAAGAAGAATAGAACTGGATAATACTCCTAGTATGGGTAGAATGAACAATGCCTGCATCCAATCAGATTGTTCAGGTATTTTGACAGCCAGTCGGTCCGTCTAGCAAGATACTGAAGCTTGGCCCAGTGGGAGATTCCTCCATCCACACAGTTTAGATGGCAGAATCCTTTTCCATCTGTCCATAGAAAATCTGCAGAAAATCTATAGGTGTATGACCTGCTTTAGGCTGGAGTGAGGTTTCAGGGCTAACAGAAGTATTCATAGAGAAGGTTACCAAAACACATCTCAGGTGTTATCTTTCCATCATACAGTATATGTCACTGTAAAATTGATGCTCGTTGGTGTGCTTTATGAAGCAGGGTCCGCTTCATCAGGACAAACAAATTAAGGATCTGTACTCTGAATGTATTATAAGATACAAAGTCATCGATATGCATAGACGTTGGTTAAATGTATGAACTATACACATATCAAATTTCCTTGATAAAGTCCTTTTCTCTCCCGTTCATTGAAGGACACAGGCAAACAGATCGTAGATCCTGAATGGTAGGGTAATATCGCCACCTGCAGGAGAAGGACGCTAGGCACAAAACTAAAGACCAATTACAGCCTAGGGGCGGCCCCTGCCGGTGGCCAAACCCCCCACCTGCTGACAAGTCTCCAGTTTTGTGCCTAGCGTCAGAGCCCCTTGGGGTCATTACGGTCTAATTTACGCCTCTTCCTCCACTGTATCTGTTGCCTCGGCTGCTGCGTCGGATCGCGGTCGAGGGCGTCACTGTCGTCCTCGTGG